CCTTAAAACACTTCATTTCATTTCATTTATTATACCCTCAGGGCCCGAAGGCATTACAGAGGGGGAGAGCAACAAGAAGGTTAATGCAAATAACATAATACATATTTAGACACACTCAGTAATAAAGTAATTAGTTATTGTACTTTTAAAGTGCTCAGAGTCCGTATAATGGCGATCGACCGGGGAAGGTGGTTCCACTCCTGGGATGTACGGGGAACGAAAGATGAATAAAACGTGGTTGTGATAGAGTTAGGAATGCCCACCTTATGTTGATCATCAAGACGGGAGAAAACATAGACGGGCCGAGCAATTATTTTGTCGTGCAGGAAAGAATTATGGTGATATATTTTATGGAATAGGGAAAGACGAGAAATTTTACGACGTAGAGATAAAGGTGGTAATGAGAGAGTTGTTTTGATAGAGGTGACGTTAGCGGTGCGGTGATAGTTTGTGAGGATGAAACGAGGGGATCTGTTCTGAACGGCTTCCAATGAAGATATGAGAGTGACTAGTCCGGGATCCCAGACAGAAGCTGCATATTCTAACTTGGGACGAATTAAAATTTTGTAAAGAGTTAATTTCAGTGAGACAGGTGCTAATGAAAAATTTCGTTTGATGTAACCTAACATGCGGTTAGCGTTAGCTGAAATATGCTGAATATGTGTTTTCCATGAAAGGTTAGAAGCTATATGTACGCCTAAATATTTGTACGAAGATACCGGTTCTAGATTAGCATTATTAAGGAAATAGTTAGGAGAGTCCTGAGACTGGCCAGACACACGCATGACCTTGAATTTGTTAGTGTTAAGCTTCATAGACCACGAGTCAGACCAACGGTAAATAGCATTAATGTCTGATTGGAGTATACAGGTGTCATTATGATTGAGAATTTCACGGTAAAGTACACAGTCGTCAGCGAACAGAGACACGGACGAAGAGACACTAGTGGGTAGGTCGTTAATATAAATTAAGAATAGCAACGGCCCTAAGACTGTCCCTTGCGGAACCCCTGACGCAACTTTGACAAAAGAGGAGTTATTGTTATTCACAGTGACAAATTGAGACCGTTGAGTTAAAAAGACTGTATCCATGCGAGAACGTTATTGTCTATGTTAAGTTTGGAAAGTTTTAGAAGCAGAAGATTGTGAGAAACTTTGTCAAATGCTTTGGCGAAATCCAGGAAAATGCAGTCCGCCTGGGATCTTCGGTCCAGAATGTGATGTAGGTCATTCGTGAAAGATAGTAGTTGGGTTTCAGATGAAAATGATGTTCGAAAACCGTGTTGGGCATTGTTGAAGAAGTTGTTAGATTCTAAGAAGTTGACGAGGTGAGAAAAAATTATATGTTCTAGAAGTTTGCAGGGAATGCTGGTTATTGAGATCGGACGATAATTAAGGGGGGAATGTTTATCTCCAGCCTTGTGAATGGGTACCACGTTCCCTAACTTCCAGTCTGATGGGAGAATAGCGTCTTGTATAGACTGTTCAAATAATTTTGTTAAAATAATTGAGGAGTATTGTTTAGTGTTTTGTAAAAACTTGGAATTACCGTCCACTCCTGCTGAAGGTGACAGTTTGAGTTTATCTATGATATGACCGACACCAACGTAATCAAGAAAAAGAGGATCCATGGGCAAGTAATCGGCACTCTCGCGCGAAGGGAAATCGTGCATGTTATCAGTAGAGAATCAATCTGCAAAAGTACTATTTAATAAATTTAAACACTCATCGCTGGCTATACAAACACCATTTGCGGTTTTTAGTGTGATAGATGACTGCGTCTTTTTGTTTCTTGTATTCCAGAATTGTCTAGGATTGTTGATCAACATTGCGGGTAGGCTATGAGTCATGAATTCTAGTTTGGCGTTTTCAATTGCTTTTTTGTACACTTCAGCAGCAGTACGATAACGCAACCAACGGTGCTCGCTCGTGGATAATTTCGCGGCGCGAAATAGACGCTTTTTTTGTTTGATAAGCGTTTTAAGGCTCTGGTGAACCAGTGTGACTGAGTGTTTTCGATAACTCTCCTTAAGGGAATGTATTGATTTGTTAGTTTATTAACTTCGGTTTTGAAAAAGTTCCAGTTTCCTTCAACTGAGCGACTTGAGAAGAGTGATAAATATTCATCGAGGAAAGTTGCAAGGTCAAGATTAATTTTATAAAAGTTAGCTTTGGCGTAATCTCGAATTTGCTTTACATTAGTTGATGGTTTTGGTACTGCTGCTTTTACATTAAAATGCAATATGGAATGATTACTGAGCCCTGGAAGATAGGAAATGGGTGAAACAAGTTCAGGATGAGTAGCGAGAACAAGGTCCAATATGTTCGCCGTCAATGGGGTCACTCTGGTTGGTTGAGTAACCAACTGCGTGAAACAAAAATCTAAACAGAGGCCAACAAAATCATTGCATTCAGATGAGGCAGATGAGGGTGTGCCTGTTGGTGGGTTATTACCTGTCCACACAATATCAAGATAATTAAAATCTCCCAACAGAAAGTTTGGCGAACTGGGAAAGTGAATGACGACCAGATTTATGGAGTCCTGCAAAGCTTTAATGAAAGATAATGAGCACGAGGGCGGCCTATAGCAAACTCCCATGATCCACTTTATGTGATTAGTGCCAAAACATACCCAAACTATTTCTAAATCGCTAGCTATGTTTAAACAAAAGGAATCAATATGACTTGCAATGGCAACTAAAACGCCCCCCCCCCCCTCCCCCGCACCTATCTTGCCGATCGTTCCTGTAAATATTGTACCTTTTAGGTACAATATTTACAGGTCCTGGAGGAAAACGGTCTTAGAGGACGCGCTACTGGCGAGCTCCTTGAAGGCGTTTGCAGCTGTCTACAGCCGAATTGACATCGCTAGCGGGTTGTGCCAAGGACAGCCCGAAAGCGTCTTTGGAAATTCCTTTAAGCAGGTGACGAACCCTTTCGCGGTCAGTCATCTGTTCGTTTTCTCTTCGGCAAAGAGTCAGGACGTCTCCTTTGTACGACGTGTATGTTTCACCAGGCGGCTGAACGCGACTATTCAGTCCACGCTCAGAAACGGCACGACGATTTTCCAGTCTCCAAAATACTTCTCTTCCACTGACAGTGGATGTGTCACATGACTGCCATTCCCGTTCGTGATTCAAGAACCATGTCCCTGCAACACTTTCGTAAGATAAAAAAAAAATAATGTTGGCTAATAGCATTGAATTGTCCCACCGGTTGTGAAGTCCTTAGAAGACCAGGTTAGGAGTAAGATGCATGAGTAAATTTAACACAATAGAATAATTGCAGCCCAACAATCAGTCGTCAAACATATACAAACCCAGTTCGCGCTACCCCACCCCTCACCGGAACAAACACAATGCATACATATAACTATGTGCAATATCCACAATAGAATACAACAAACTCAATCCGTGAACATGTCAAATGTTAAAATAAGAAATGGGAGCTCCCCCTGCTACATGCACCCGCAATGCTTTCTGGTAATTGGTTCAAATCTCGTGCAGTCTCCCGACAGAATAAATATATCAAACAATCTTTACAAAACCTTTGTTCTTTCACGTGCCTTTCGTGTTTGTTCCTCGATATTCATCCATTCGTCAATTACCTCTTCGCCAAGTCCTGTGAATTGGTGTGGATCGCTTTGACGGAATGACGGATGCCAGAGAGGCTCATTTGTTGAACTGCCTGGAGCCATATAACCATCGGCTGGTGGCTGGTTGGTTGCTTGCTCACGGTGTGCCGAGACCTTTGTTGGTGGCGCACCGTTGGCTTACGTGGTGGTCGTGGGTGCCGTTGCGGAGCTGTATACTTCCTTGAAGGAGCAAAAGAGGCGAGATCTTACAGCTCATTCACCAAGTTGTGAGGGACTGTATTCCTGGTTTCCAGTGGCCGCTGGTAGGAGCAGAGGCAGGAGGTACACCAAATACACTGGAGGGTCGGTCGATTTCAACGGCGTCCGTTTTAAATGTGCTGGGTAAAGCCCTTTGATAAAGGCGTTTTCTACAAGATACCGCCAATCATTGTTGTGAAAACGCGCAAGACACGTTCCACGAGGGGTTGCACCACCGCCATTCGCTTCCAAGGGCCGCTCATTTCAGTACTGCGCCGCCATTGTCTTCCAATTGCCGCTCGAGGCTCGAACCTTGTCAACTGGCGTATTTGTCGCTACTTGCAAGACAAACGCAAGCACATCGAGGTGCTTTACCGCTGCGCCGTTTTACGCGCCCCGTTGCAGAGCATCGAGAGCCGGGCCAGTTCACGTGTCCAAGCTCGCTGGTCCGTTTGACGCGCATAACTATTTCGCACCAAGTCGTGCCACTGCTTACAATTTGATCTGGAATGGGAATATGGTATGAATACCTTTGGCAGCTCAGTTTTCTGTGAACACCCAGAGAACTTTATAATCTGCAGCATGAACTTCAAAATATTTAAAGCTGAAAAGAAGATTGCTCTAATTATTCGAGGTATGTAAATGATTTGGTCATTTAAAAACAATAACAATGTAAAGTACAGGGTGATACAAAGGAGACGGCAGGCTCTTTAAATCGACCGGAAAATTCGGTTTCTTAACCTATCGCGCTACGGCTTTGTGCAGCGTTGCCCACAGATGGTCCATTTTTTTTTTGTAATATTTGCAAAGAGCGATCTTGCCTGAGAAAAAAGTAAAGAAAGAAAAAGGCTTAGCTCCTATGGAAACGCAGCTGCGCCACCGGTCTTCAAACAACACGGCGCCGCTTCGCACGGGACAGAAGAGAGCTTAGGGCACATCAGGGGCCCTAAGCTACACGACGGGGCCAAGAACGGGACCGGGAAATCGCCGGCAAATCGCAGCAGGAGGCGATGACCCGGCACCTTTGCCTCGCATGGTCCCGCGTGTAACTTAGAGCTTCATAATACAGTTTACGAGCGTCCCATGAAAGGGATGACAGTTGACTGTTTTTTTTTTCTTCTTATTATCGTATCCAAAGTACACAGCAGTATTTTATTTCAATTACAGAAATGACGGCTTGGATCAGTGTATGCATAACCTACGATGAAATATACACCACAATAAATCCCTATTCTTTGGACGATGAATCTTTTCTGGAATATTTTAAAGTGTTCGTAAAAGCTGTAAGTTAAAAACAAACACCTTTGAAATGTCAATTTTTTTCTTCTATATTATGAACAAGTGTATCTTGGCAGTACCTCAACTGAACAAAAATATCTCATTCTTGTATTTTCAGACCGAGCTGCGTTTTCAAGATCTAGAAAATACCAGAGTCATTCTGGCACTTAGGCGAATTGAAAAACACACGGTAAGCAGCAGCAAATAAGCTTCAAACAATAAAAACAAAAATTTCTACTGTACTGTGCAAAAAAAATAAAATACGGGAATTGCGTTTTTGGATAAATTTAAGTAGGTACAGGCGAAATCCTGAAATTCCAGAAGTGTTGGAAGCTGGGCGAGGTGGTACTTTTTCATAATAATAATTAAAAAAAATACAAAACGCACAAAAAACAGGGACACAAGAAAGTGAAGTACAGCACACGGGTGCTCCCTCTGAAATGAAAGTTTGCTTTTCTAAAAGCGTAGCAGGAAGCTTCACTTAGTGCGCTCATGCACCCCAAACTCTGCCAGGATAATAAGCTAGAGGCTGGGATAAGCTGCCAATGTTTGAAATGTCTTTCGAAAATATTGCTTTCTTTGTTTGACGTATCAAATACTCGCGGTCTATCTGAACGTCTACACCGAGACGCCGTGCAATTAGCGAGTTTTAGAATAGGGGGCCCCACACCTTCGGGTTCCCCCCAAACAGCTTGGGGCGTCCCAGTGCGCATGCGCAGAACTTCTGAGCATGCCCATGGCGATGTCCCAAGTTGTTTTGGGCACCCAAAGGTGTGGTGCCCCCTATTCTAAAATTCGCTATTGTGTGGCAGAGCCAGTGTTGGCGGTAACGCTTTACCTTTTTCGTTAACGTATTAACGTACTCGTTGCCTTTCCAAATTAGTAATGGGTAACGTAATTACGTTACTTATTTTAAGTTACGGGTAACGTAGTTATGTTACTCGTTAGATCGTCCCAAAACCATAAAAGTACTAGTTGGGTGCGTTGTTAGGCTGGTTGGTTCATCTTAGTTAAACATCTAAAACAGCGCAAGAAAAGACAGGGAAAAGAATTAAACAGGACAAGCGCTACCTTCCAACTAGTTTTACTCAGAAAAAACAAAGCATATATACACACCACAGGCGAAGCTGCCACACATAAAAGCTCTCAAGTAAGTATTCAACCGTGCAACAACTGAAATTCTTTCCCATGAACTGCACAAGAAGTGTCACTGACAAATGCCGTCCCACTTTTTTGATAAAGAACGCCTCCAAAAGATCACGAGCTACAGTCTCACGGCATGTCCCCAAAATTCATATCCGCTGAACTCGTTAAAAAAAATGTCAAGTACACTTTAATTTTTTTGTGTTTTTATACTTCGCTTTAGCTTGCGTCCACACGCTGCCGACGCTACGAGCTGATGGGACCAATCAGACAGCATGGAAAAGACACAATCATGGTGTTTTTGTCATGTTTGTGTACGTGTTCATCATCGCTGAAGCAATCATTAACAAAAAAAGTCCAATGACTTAAGCTTTTAACGCTGCTCGGTTGGTCCCATCAGCTCCTAGCTTCGGCTACGCCTAAACTTTAGCTGAAACGAAGTGTAGGCACCAACCAAGTCATTAATTATTGCATTCGTTCCGCATACCTTCAAAAATTTTTTTTTTCTCCCATGCAAGAAGTCCCACTTCAGAAAAAACCAACGCCCACGCTCTTGAACCCAGTGTCAAAAGCCGCTATCACCAAAAAAACACAAAAAACGCGGTTACCGTTAAACCGTGTTAGTTTTTTTTTTTTTTTTTGCGGTAAAGCGTTTCATTTTATATTGAGATAAAGTAGGCCGGTACCGCGTTTTCTTTATTTTAAGATAAAATAGGCCGGTAACGTGTTTCTTTATTTTGCAAGTAACTAGTAACATATTTTGTTACATTGTTTCGGTAACGCCTTCAACCCTGGTAGCGTTGTGTACCGACTTTCATGAGACACCGGTGGGCTGGTGCACCAGTTTCCGAACGAGGAGGAACAGAGAAAGCTGTATGTATCGCTCGTACGTCGTATCCCAAGCCTGTGCGACAGTCATATTCGTAGTAAAGGCTCCACTACGAAAAAAGCACAGAGGCGCTATGGTAGCATATGAACAAAACAATAGGATGGCTTGTCGAAATACCGCATCGCTTAACTGCGGCCTCTCTGCAAGCGAGCCGGCGCAGGTGTAGCTGACTGATGTCGTTAACGTGCTAGGGTCGTTTCATTTCACATCGAACACACTGGTCGGGGTGGGCATATCAATTTTTCTCAATTATATATATATATATATATATATATATATATATATATATTATATATAATCGGTCCTTGTCTAGGTAAAACAAACCCGATTTAAATTTTTTTTTTCGTTTTGCGAAAAAATATTAGGTTGTAAAAATCAAATTGTGTGTTAAATTTGCATACACAGTTCTGTTACTTGTACAAAAATGTCAAACATGTACCTTTGACGTTCGGGAGACTTATTTGGTGTCTTGCATCTCGATATTGTTTTTAATTAGCGTGTAGCGACTGGCAACAAGGCGCCAAAGAAAAGGACAAAGAGGAGCGTGAAAGGCGGCTCGTGGTTTCAGCTGCTGGTTCGACGGACTCCAGCACCCGCCGGCGCAGTTACAAACGCCTCAGATTTATAATTATGTAAATATTGTAAAAAAAATTAGTTGAAGGATCATAACCTTTTCAAGTGGTCACCCGGACTTCAGCAACAAAGGTAATGTCCCTGCCAGCTACCGAATTCACATCCACCGGCACCCGGTCCCCTACTCCGGTCGTTGCCGCGGTCGAACTACCTGACTTCTGGACCACCAACGCGGAACAATGGTTCATCCCCATTGAATCTATTTTTCAAAAAAAAAAAAAAAGCATAACAACGCATATCTCAAAATACGACTACGCCGTTGCGGCCCTCCCGCAGTCCACCGCTAGCATCATACGGGACGTGCTTCGAGCGTCTCCAGCTGACAATCCATATGACAAATTAAAAACCGAGTTAACTCGTAGGACAAAAGAGTCTGAGCGACGGCGCATTCAGCAGCTCCTGACCGCAGAGGAGCTCGGCGACAGGAAATCTTGTGAGCTCCTCCCCAGAATGCATCAGCTTTTGGGAGACCGCGCCGAAACACTCGACGCGTCCATCTTCAAGGAATCACCCCTTCAATAACTTCCCCAACAAGTCCGTATGATCCGGTCAACATTAGCGGAGCCATTGGAAACCCTCGCCCAGGCGGCAGATAAAATCATGGACTTGTCCAGTCTCGTAATTTTTGCGCTTCACAAAAACGCACCAGCAGCTGCCCAGTCGCAAGCATCTCCCTCTCTGGAGGAGAAGTTTTCTCAGCTCCTTGAATCGAACAGGAGGCTTTCGGAGCAAGTCCACCTATTGGCGAGGAATTTGCGAGACCTACATTCGTGCCCTTCAAGGTCATATTCCCCGCATACATCTCGAGCACGCCGGCGTAGCACATCCCGCGGTGCAAAGAACTGGTGCTGGTACCACCGATCATTTGGACAAGACGACAGAAAATGCACCCCACCATGTGCGTTTCCGGAAAACACTTTGCCCACTCATTGAAGACGGCCAGTGCAGCGGGAACCGCAATCAGCCGTTTGTTCCACGTCACTGATTGCCAAACAAAAATCCAATACCTTATGGACACCGGCGCCGAGGTCAGTATCATTCCTCCTACGCTGGAGGATCGTCAGCACCGACAACAAACTCTGCCGCTAAAGCGGTCAATAGGTCGGCGATCAAAACCTATGGACAAGGATCACTAACCCTCGATCTTGGCCTCCGGCACGTGTTCTGCTGGGTTTTTCTGGTGGCCGACGTACGCTTTGCGATCATTGGGGCAGATCTTCTCCGTAAGTTCGACCTTGAGGTGGATGTCTAGAGTCGACTTCTACTCGACTCAACAACGCACTTCAGCATCCAAGGAGTGCTCTTTAAGACACCATCACTCAGCACTAACTTGCAACCTCTGCAGACTGCTGCTTCATGGCGAAACCTGAAGGAATTCCCAACGTTAACGCAGCCATGCAACACCAAGGTTCCAGTTAAGCACACCACTACTCACCGCATTGACACCCACGGATCTCCAGTTTTTGCCAAGCCGCAACGCGTCGCACCGGACAAGATCAAGATTGCCAAGGACGCATTCGAGCACATGCTGGAACTCGGATTTGTCCGTCCATCATCCAGCGTGTGGTCCAGTGCACTGCACATGGCATCTAAGAAGTCTGGCGACTGGAGACCGTGCGGGGGTTACAGAGCCCTCAATATAGTTACTGTACCCGATCGTTACCCAATTCCCACATTCAAGATTTCGCTGGAATGCTGCGCGCACCGAAAATCTTCATAAAGATAGACCTTGTGAAGGCTTTTCATCAGATCCCAGTCGACCCATCTGACATTCATAAAACTGCCATAACCGCACCTTTCGGCATGTGTGAGTACGTGCGCATACCATTTGGCCTGCGAAACGCAGCTCTAACGTTTCAGCGTTTCATGGACCAAGTCACACTTGGCTTGACCTTCTGTTTCACCTATATCGAGGATATCTTAGTTTTCTGTAAGAACCACGAGGGACATGAACTCCACCTTCGCCAACTGTTCTTCCGCCTCAAGAAATACGTTGTCGTCCTGAACGCCGCTAAGTGCGAATTTGGCGTTACCGAGTTGGATTTCTTGGGTCATCGCGTAGACCAACACGGCATTCGTCCTCTACAGGACAAAATGAACGTTATCCGAGAATTTCCGCAGCCCCAAACAACAGATAAACTTCGCGAATTTCAAGGACTGGTCAACTTCTACGGGAGATTCATTCCAAACTGTGCAGCCATCCTCCAGCCACTCAAGTGATTCCTCACTGGAAATCCCAATAAATTCATACCACTCGAGTGGAACGAAGCTGCAGTTGAATCGTTCCAAACAATCAAGCACAAGCTTCCTGATGCTACGACGTTGACCCATCAGAAACCTGACGCACCCCTCTCCCTTGTAATTGATGCCTCCGATGAAGCAGTGGGAGCAGTACTCCAGCAGTTTGCCGAATCCGATTGGCAACCCCTTTCATTCTTTTCAAAACAAACGACGCCAACCGAATCACGTTACAGTATGTTCGGGCGAGAGCTTCTAGCCGTTTACCTTGGCGTGAAACACTTTCG